TAGAAATTGGAGTTAGTAGGAGACACAAGCATAGCGAAGAAGAAGAAAAGAAAGCAGAAGTTATCTGACGAATTCCCTGGTATACAGTAGAATAGCGACAGAAAACTTGATGGCACATAATTGAACTGAAACCCGTTTGAAGCGCAGACATAGAAAAGAACGTAAAGCGTAAGCCATAATTAATCCCGCACATCATACGCAACAAAGAGCACTCGACAACCATACCTGAAAAAGAACAACACAGAAACGAACACAATAGGAAAAACCAAAAGAAAAACCCATAAGATGAAGATCTCGTCGTCCGAACAGGAAAGTGGTTTCTACCTAAATCAGATGAACGCAAAAAAGTCAACATAAGTACGAATCGCTCTCAACATACTTTAGGATTTCTGACTTCTGTAAAACTTTTTTGAAAGCCCAACTACTTTTAGTCGACAACAATTTAGCAGGCAGTCGTCTAAACCAGCGAGCCCAGAATAGCAGCATTTTCTCAATCTGGGGTAGTCAAGATTGAAACCCCCCACTCTGCAACTAGCAGGTCTAAAAATCCAAAAGTTGCTGGCAGGAAGGTCAATCTCTCGCCGAAGAATCGCAAAACAAAAAACTAAGTCTGCAATAATCCTTCTGCGTTTCAATGATTTCAAACCAAAAAGATTCAAGCGCTCACTATAATCAGGAATGGACTTTTCTTGCATATCATGTGACATACGAGAACAGACCATTCGTGTAAAAATATGTTGAACTTTCTCAATCTTCATAATTTCTTTCTTTTTGGAAGGATTCCATAATTGTGAGGAGTACTCAAGATGTGGTAGTACATAAGCCTTATACAGTCTGGTAAGAACGACTGGATTAGAAGTGTGAACACAACGAAATATTGCAAAAAGCGCCGAATATGCTTTTTTACAGCAGAATCTATATGTTTGGAAAAATCTAAGTGAGAATCAACAAAAACACCCAAATCCCTGACTAGTGGGCATGGTGACAAATCTGTCCCATTGATTTCATACTTATGTGGATAAGTTTTACCTAAATGCAAAAACGAACATTTACTTGGATTCAAAGAAAGACCATTAGATAAAGCCCACATATTCAACTTATCTATAGCTGCTTGCAACGACTGATGCATGTCAATGGAATCATATTCATTGTAAGATGCATACAGTTTAATGTCGTCCGCGTAGATCTGGACATCACCCCACTCAAAGAAATCAAAGCAGGTAACTCCAAAGTGAATATCAAGAACAGAAGTGGCGAGAGTACACCTCCCTGAGGTACCCCACTAGTGCATTGGTACTCACCGGAGAACGACTGCCCAACTTTTACAGTCATAAATCTATCTTGAAGGTAGGAGCGGAGCCAATTCAAAAGCTTGCCAGAGATTCCAAACATTTGCAACTTCATGATTAGAACATTATGAGGAATCTTGTCAAAAAGCCTTTGAAAGATCAACGTAGTTTATATCAACTGATTTTCCACAGTTAAGAGCTTTCTTCCAATCAAAAACACTCTTAACAAGGTTCGTGGTAGTAAATCTTCCCGAAACGAAACCATGTAATTGAGTTGGAATACCATGATTTTTCTTGATCCAAGACAATAGTTTTCTTCTTATGATTTTTTCCATCACTTTGATTGGGGCTGAAGTAAGACTTATGGGACGAAAATCACAAACTTTAACAGCCGCACTAGTCTTTGGAATAGGCACAACCACAGCCTTTTTCCATAGGATTGGTACTTCACCATAATACATAGAGAGATTGAACAAGTCTGAGAGAGGTTTGGAAAGTATATCGGCGCATTTTTTATAAATTATAGGTGGGATTCCATCATAAGGTTTAAAGCAGGAGGGATGCAAAGATCTTAGAATAATGCGAACGTCAGATTCATAAAAGTATATAGTATCACATGTGTGCTGGGGGTAAGTCTGAAATGAAGGATAGCTAACAACATGGTCATCAGCAAACACACTCGCAAAATACTTCCCCAAAGCTTCTGCTTTATCAACATCGTTTACACATTCTTTGCCAAAGTCATCAAACAGAGTGGAAAAGCCTCTAGACTGCAACTTGCTACGTATGTACCCGAAAAGCCTCCTGACATTTGCACAGGAAGAAATCCGTCTTTCATAGTTGGCTAAAAACTTCCTCAGATGAAAGTCCAAGTCAAGGCATACTTTCTTGTGCAAGGGGTTAGTCAGAAGGTTCACTAAAATCTTGAACAAATTTTGCTTTTGATCCATAAGAGCATGAATATGCTCGGGGTAATGAAAATTTACTGAATGATTGACAGTTTTCAAGCGACCGAATCGGCCGAGCCTCTGATAGACTGTGATGCAGAATCTATGATAAGCATCGTCTAACGAGGTATGATCCACAAACAAAGTTGTCCAATCAATATCAGAGAAAGAATTGATCAATCCAAGATAATCGAATTTCAAAAAGTCAGGAGTAGGATACAACACTTTAGCTGTATAGCAACCCTGCACATGAAATTCAACGATGTTGTGATCAGCAGTAGCAAGAGGGAGAAGAATTTTGACACTCTTTACATTATCAGTAGTAGAGAATATCAAATCCAGAATACTACTACCGTGAGTAGGCTGAAGCACATGCTGAGTAAATCCACAATCAAGAAAAAACTCTATTAAGTGATTTGAATTTTTGTTTATTGCAACGAAATCATTCCAATTAACATGAAGATTGAAATCTCCCAAAATAATCATATCTTTGATTTGCGAAGATGTCAAGTCTACTAAAACATTTTTGAGCTCATCATCATTCCGACTATTGCAACTAGGTGGACGATATACAATGATGAACCTAACATAGTTAGCATCCGAGGGGCAAAGCAGGTCAATTGAAAGCAAATCAATATCAGAAACAGTACGTTGATACACCCTGCCGATCGATATGTTACCTCTGATAATGCAACAAACACCTCCTCCTGTCCGATTTGGCCTATCACTGCGGTAGATCAAATACGGCAGGTCAGAGACTAATTTAGAATCGCTCACTTTTGGAGAAAGCCAGGTTTCAGATACGAATACAACATCGGGTTTGTAGAAACAAAGAAACGAATGAAGGTGGTCCATCTTATTTACCAAACTGCGTGAGTTCAAAAGATAACATCTCAAAAAATCAATAGTACCGTGCCCACTTACTGGTTTCCCGGAGACTTACGGGGGTAGTTCAGATACGTGTGTGAGTCGCCCTTTATAGACGACCCACTCGCGTACTGCGCAATCCCTGTTCCGCTCTCTCGCCTGTTGGCGGAGCTCATATTCCTTCCTCCCTCCTCCTCGGTTATACTTCTACGTATGTAAATATTTGAAAACCCGGAGGAGCGGAGGAGGCGAGCATTAGAGAGCGCTTGTCTCCAGTAAAACCTACTAGGGAGCGCGACTTTTACCAAACGGGGATGATTTCCGTTTGGCTTACCCACACGATACGCCTCGGATGCGGGACAATCAATGTTAAGAACATCAAAAATGTCATCCAGCTTTTTGCTCAAGTCAAGCGCACGCTCACTTGCGCGCATACCCGGCGAGGGTTCAGCTACACCACTGATGACAATGGTTCGCGAACGTTTATCATTTTCAACAGCGCTCTGCACCTCTTGCTGAATCTTATCAGACAATACGCAGAGCATCTGATCAATGATGGGATCTGTGTTCCTCTCTTTCATCGAGAAGATCAGATCCTTGACGCTCATCTGCGAATAGTCCACGTCACCAGATATGTAGGCCGAATTCTGTGTGTGATCAATTGGATGACTCAAAATGTGCTGAGATTGAGCAACCTTTTTGCTAGTACGGCTCGATTTTGCAGGCATCCCGTTGATCTCCACAAGAATCAGAGAGGCAGAAAAAAAAATCGATGACACGAGGTTCAAGAATTGGCAAAGAAATTGACAGAACAAACTAGTATCAATGCAATGAGCAATAGATACTGAATCAGAATGCGCACTCTGCCACACTGCGGCGCACTCTGCCACACTCCGGTGCACTGTGGCGGAGTGTGGCGGAGTGCGCCGCAGTTCGGCGACTTTTTTGACGAATTATGAGCGGTATTGTATTTGTGCGGGTGTAGCTTGCTGATGTGGAAGCTTGCCAATGTCAACATTGGCATTTTTTTTCTTCGGAGTCTAGGACCCTCCCCGGCAAACTGTGTTAGGCGGGGCTTGCCAGTATACCCGCCAGCCGAACTTCCGGTTTGCTTTTATGAATCATTAAGATCGTTCCTTGCTGGCAAACGAGGGGGCATGGGTTCTTCTCCACTGAGCCTTACGTGTCAGGTTTTTTTATTAAACTAATGACTTATTTCTGCTAGCTATCCCGACACAATCTTTCTATAGAAGATGATTAGATTGACTTGGGACGACGTGATGTTATGTTTGTTCGAGTGATTTATGCTCTACTAACCTTCTTTATTATGGAACGCCTAGAGCGTATTAAATAAATAAATAAATAAATAAATACAACAGTTCACGCAGATTCTAGTTTCTTGTAATCATGGGCAGTTTGGAAAAAAAGAGTAGTGTCCGTGCTCTTGGCAACCAACATGTGCAAAAATGTAAGTTTTGGTATTTATTGGAAAGGGAATATTCGAAACAAGAGAGATTGGTAATTCAAAGCAGATTAGATAAATAACTCCATCAAACCTAGCAGCTCCAACCTCACAGACCCCAGCAAGAACAACAATGACGTTTTCACTCAAACATTAACAAGAACAATGATCATAATTAACAATCTGTTCAATAAATATATTGAGAAAAGGAAGTAGAAAGTCATTGGTACAATATCATAAAATTAGATCTGTATCGCTTAAATGCGTAAACAGTTACATCCAGGAAATTTATGCAATTGTCGTTTCTGCGAACTTCCGCGCGAGTGCAACAGCTTCGTCTAGCCGTTCGATATTCTCACCAGTAGCCTAAATCAGAACTTAGATGTCCGACTGAACTACTGTAATTTTAGGAATTTTTGATAACTAAGTTCAAAATTAACAGGGCAATCCATCAACGAAAAATCGTTGAATTTCCATTTGACACGTAAAGGTTGAGGTTGCCTGAGCGTTTGCATCTTTTCCTCCGCCTCGCCCACCAAGAACTATACATACTTCATTAACCCACTGATTAGCCTTCAAGCCTCCTTCGATCAAAGACTAAAACAAATGAACTTTATTAAACCAGTCCAAATCCCAACAAAATGCAGATTCCAAGAAGAAAAATCCAGTTTTCGCCTACCTTGTCAACCTTAGCAAGCACTAGCACTTTTCCACTTTCTTCGTTCACGGAGAATCCCATGACAGCTTTTGTGGTCTTGAACTGTTTCAAAGCATTGTCAAGTACCTGCAAAAAGACGGAGATATAAAAATGAAAACCCAGAAAAATTGCTGAACCAACCTTACTACTGGCTCCAAAAGAAAAGACGTGAACTAGTACATCCTGATGGTCGCCTTGTGCTAGCTCTTTTGCTTCTGACAAGACCTAAAAACGCAAGATTCGAGAACGAGAAGTCAGTAAAGAACAAATTGTGCAGTATGGATAGGATAAAGTACCTTCTCAGCTACAGCTGCGTCAGCTAATTTCTTGTACGAGTCGAGGGTTTCGAGTCGAGGGTGAAAAACAAAGTTGACTTTGACAAAACATCTGGAAGATGTCAACAATGTTTAGAAACCCGCGAAAGGAAACTGGAGCTGGCACCGACTTATAAACAAAAATATATAATACAAAACGTTGAAAAGATAGCAAACAAGGTAGTAACCTCAAAACCCAATCGGAAACAAATCAGGCTTTGAAGCTCACCAGGGAATGTTTTCTGATCAGCGCCCATGCCTGACACAGACATGACCTTTTGGAAGACTGCCCACGGTTCAATGTCTTCAAAAATTGCTTTTCTTCATCATTTATGATATCCTGAAGTCTCCGGGTCTCGGCGAAGCCCAGGGAATGTATCCCTGAAAACATAACATCATCTTCATAGTTATTCAAAATAACAATGATGTACCAAGATATCTATGACAACAGGAACAAGGGAGGGGAAGAGCTCAGGCTGAGCATTAAGCTTTTCGGTGGCGTAGCGGACACCTCGACGAAGAATACGACTCAAGACATAACTGAACAATCATGAGAGCCTTAAAAAAATTGTAAACTTGCAAAGCTAACCCTCTTCCAGTGTTATCAGGTCGACCACCATCAGAAAGAGCGATGGTCAAGGTTCTGATGTGGTCAGCGACGACTAGGCCATATCCACACCATTAAGTGTCGTCAGCACCGACTTTGCCAGTATATTCACGTGTACCAGTACCCTAAACCTCAAGTCCATAAAACAAACTTATGTTGAAAAATGGTTGAAAAATGTCCGCATCATAGTTTGATGTTTTCTGCTGGATGACAGCAATCAGTCGCTCGAGTCCTAATCCACAGTCAATATGTTTTGATGGAAGTGGCCGCAAAGCGCCACCTTCTTCCCTTGAGAAATCAAACAACATACTATGTTGCATGAACTACGCCAAAACAATTGAGGCAAAAGAACAAAGACAATCAAAGCATTGCGAAAGACCATGAAAGAACCATAAAACCGCAAATTAAGCAAAAACAACAGCGAGCTTACCTACTGAACTGTATAAATACACGATTCCAGATCTCAACCACCATCGGATCATCAGCATTTACAATATGTGAAGCATCGCGGCCGCCAACACGATCGAAATGAATTTCAGAGCACGGACCACATGGCCCTACATCTCCCATTTACCAGAAATTATCCTTCTTACTGAAGGGCAAGATCCGGTCGTTGGGAAGTCTACAAACAGAACTAGCAAAACCTATCAAAAGAACAAAGTATAGAACGAAGAAGAAGACACGCTACTACAAACGATTGCAAAGCGAAAAAAAGGGAGACATTGCAATAAAAGAAGAAAGAAACAGAAACAGAGAAACATAGAAATCATAGGAAGAGAAACATGGTATGAAAATTGACGCGAATTTCAAACTGTCTTGTCTCCCGCCCTTGGTGTGGTGGCAGTTTTTGGAATCCTACCGTACACCAATATTTTCGGCGGTTGTCGGACTAGGTGCTTCGGTGAGTAGGGTTCAGAAAACCCCCGTATCTCTACTAAGAGAGCGCGCTTGGGAGGGGGGGGGCAAATGCTACTACGAAGAGGAGAAGGATGGCTTAATAGAATAGTTTATAAAAGGGTTTCGTTTGAGCGTTTTGAAGGTAAGTTAATGGCCTGCGGCACCCCCTCTCAAAACCTGCGGCAGCCGCAGGTTTTGAGGGGGGAGGGGGGGTGCCGCAGGCCATTAACTATATCAAAAAAACATTTTTAGCGGACAATATTTATATGAATCAATAGCCTAAACCTCGTAGATTCCATAGGCTCAGATAACCGCCGGGGGTAGGCGGCCATGCGAATTTTGAGCAAGCGCGCACCGGAAAAATAGTTCGTTGATTTTTTGCGGCCCGCTTGCAGAAATTTGGAAGAAAGTTGGCGAAGCTAAAGACGAATGCTTGAAGAACAATCGCGGTTTTTTATGGATTAGCTGCGGCGCAGTGGCCGCATCCTCGCGGAATTTCCGCGAGAATACAAGATTTTCGGGGACTCACGGTCCTTTGTGGAGGACCGCGCAGCCCCCAGGTACTTTACGCTGGGAGAAAGTACCTCAAACTTGAGTAATTAAACCAGCATAACACCTCTGCCACACAGAGTCTTTCCTGTGCTCGGCGTATGCCCGAAACTGCTTAAAAAGAGTCCGAGCGCTTGCTGAAAGTTTGGCCAGCGCTTGCTGAAAGAAATCATTTGCCGAGCGCTTGCAGAAAATGCTGTAATGCTGCCGGATGGCAGAATATGCGACCGTAAAGGAAGTGCCGCCAGCTGAAGGTTTGGCCACGCCCCAAAATCCTGTTGACCGCTTGCAGAAAAGCGCGAGTTTGCGGACCGCCTGCCCCCGGCAATTATCTGAGGGGATGTTTTGAGCCTGATTCGTCTCCTTAGCTCTGAGTAATATTTGGTGAAAGCACAGCGATCAAAAGCTAAAAGCGATTTTGGTTGGCTTCTAATTCAATAGTTTGGAAGTCTTCTGAAGCGGGATTCCTGAGGTGGACAAAGAAGGAGTAGTGCTTTGTACTGAGTGCAAGAAGAGGTAGCTTACTCACCGTTAAGATGAAGTTAATCATGTTTTAAATTACTGCTTTATACGCGGTTGTTTACTGCTCGGAGACCCCAGAGTTCGCTGAAACTTGGCGCATAGGGGTTATTCGACACGCGGATTACGACAATTATGCTTGATTAGAGGTACGGTAGGTTACAGTAGGCATACGGTATCTGCAAGTTTGTGTCGTTGAACTTGAATTTTGCAGGATTTCAACAGCGCTTTCATCAAGTCTATTTAGTCACACAGCTTGTACAAGTGCGCAAGTCAATGTAATAGGCTTGCACACATACAATAGACGACTATGAAGTTAGTGTGTGCGTTCGGCGCATGCCTGCAGAGGGCGTTGAGGACGCCGAATCCGTTATCCTTTATCCTTATAATCGGTTTATGTTTTTCACGCACAACCAGCTGTGTGAGCGGCAGCACAGAACAGTACACGCGAACAAATCCATTGTACTAACACGATCACTGTAATGATTCATCATCTTTGAATCTAAATCTTCTTGGTGCATCATCTATATTTCTTTGCTTTCAAGTCAATTTTTTTGCTCAGTTTCGGACCTCTTCGACCTTCGGCCATTTTCTCGCACCGAAAAGCGTTATCTTCATCCTACACGAACTGAACTTTAATTGAGCTTCTTCGGTCTACTGCGTCACTCCAAGAGGCTCCCAGTCCCCTCCCTTAGGACTCACACACCTTAAATAATGAGCTTTTTTAGACTCAGTCATTTGCTGCAGTCATTTCCCCTTAAAAACCGCTTTCGACCTTGGGTCGATACGACCCCCCCCCCTTACGACCCCCCCCCCCCCCCTGCGGCGTGCCGCACCCCCCGCTTTACCCTGAGAATAACTCGTTACAGTGCGCATTTTAGAAAATCCACAGAAGTGATCAAAAAATGTGTTATATCTAACTTAGAAGCGGACATTTTCAAACAAGGTCAAGAGAGCATATGCAAAGCCTTCATAAATATCAGATAAAGTTAACCTTTTGAAATTTTAGTTGTTTTATGCGAATGGGCGTTTTATGCTTCATATCACGTGATCATCCTATATATCTTGGTAGATCAATACCTCAGTGTGCTTCTAACTTGCTTATTGGGCTTATTCGACTTTGTTAACACATGTCATATGATCGCGAACATCAATATCTCGTCAATTACGACCCTTCTCTCTGGCCTCTAAATACCCTCCCCCCTGATGGGCGTGCGACGCCCAACGCTTGTCCCTAATCCCAAATCGCACTGGAATAAAGAGCATATCATCAGATGCGCTTTAAGGAGCTCATTTCGAATTTGTCTTTTATACTCAGTCAGTCGCCGGGGGGCAGGCGGTCCGCAAACTCGCTTTTTCTTGCAAGCGATCAGTAGAATTTTGGGGCATTGCCAAACTTTCAACAAGCGGTACCTGCTGTACTGTCGCATGTTCTGCAGGCAAGCAACAATACAGCATTTTCTGCGAACGCTGTGACTGTACGTAGTTTCGGGCGTACGTCGAGCAAAGTAACACTGTACATGTCCGAGGTGTCAAGATGGTTCAATTACCCAGGGTTTGGTGTACTTTTTCTTAACGGAAGATACCTACGGGCTGTGCGGTCCTTTACAAAGGACCGTGCGGTTCTCAAATAATTTTGTGCATATTCTCGCGGAAAGTCCGCGGGAATGCGGCTACTTAGCCGCAACTAATCTATAAAAGTGCCCAATTGTTCTTCGAGCATACCTCTAAATTTAGCCAACATTCTTCCAAATATCTGCAAGCGGGCCGCAAGAAATCAGCAAACTATTTTTCCGGTGACCGCTTGCAGATAAACCGCATGGCTGCCTGCCCCCGGTTATTTGACAAGGGAACCGTGTCGAGCGAGTCGAAGTGGCCTTTCCAGATGAAACCCATACTGCTTTGAAGAGTATTAAGCGGTGACTTCAAATCTGCCTTCCAAACCTGCCAAGCGCCTCTGGACGCCTAGTTATGACCGTTCTTCGGAACGAAAAATGAATGCAAAATTTAGGTAAAATTGATTGTTACAGTCTTTCCAGCGCTCAGATAAAGCAATGTTAAGTCTTAGCATATTAAATAAAATGTATCCATTGCATAAACAACTCTGATACTTGACACTGGACCATTTGAGCAAAGTTGAGCGATTTTGCTTCAGTTATGCGTTCAATTTTTTGACCTGAAAAACGAGCATAACTCGGTGTCCAGAGGCGCTTGGCAGATTTGGAAAGCAGATTTGGAATCACCGATTAATGCTCTTCAAAGCAGTATGGGTCTCATCTGGAAAGGCCACTTCGACTCGACACGGTTCCCTTGTAAGTATTTTCTCACCTCAGCACCTGCTTCGTCTCAGTGAGGGGGTCCGGCCCGATTCTTGCTTCGTTTCCCGCACTCTCGTTCCCTACACTCTGTAAATAAATTGTTCTACCTTAGATTCTACTCTATAATATAGCAAAGATGAAAGGGTCACCGTGCTGAAAAGCTCAAAGATAAAAGTGAGACATATTTGTGATGTCGTGGCTGAATATGTAGTAAGCTTCAACTCAATTTAGGCGGAAATTGGATTGGCGGGGGTCCGCTTTGCAACATTCGCGCCGCTTTGCAGTCTGTGTCTCTTCATTCTGATCTACCTCGCTGAGCTAGCGGCGGTGCGGACGCGCTGCTTTAGTTGGAATGTCCCGCCTATTCCAGGTTCAAAAAAAGACTGTACTTGTATGAAATCCTATTTGTTTTGATGATAAGTTGCTTGTTTGTAGTGAATTTACATTAGCAGCCCATGGTTATTAACTGCAAGCGTAGGTGCATAGAAAGCACGCGAAAGAGCTGTGTTGTGAGAACAAGATATAAGACACAGATAAGGTTATTAGTAAGTTATGAGAATAAGATTAACTGTTACAGATGCGACGAATGATACGCATTCCGCAGTATGCTATATAAGCCGCCACCGAGAGCACAAGGGGGAATTTTGTACCACGCCTCGAGGAGTCGAGCTAGCGACCGCCGACTGGCTGCCCAAGCTACCCCTCCACTGTTACAGGCTGATGCCTGCCCGACCAGCAACTCAATGTCCATGTTGTTATATTTGATTGCCTTAGTGTATTGTTTGATTTCTATTTTATGTCATAACAGATAAACTACTAGTATAGCTAGTGTTCGGGTATCTACCAGCCTGAGCTGCTTCCACGGCGCTACGTTGAGTGGTAGCAGCGAGTGGTTCCACCGCCACTGAGGGAAGGTAAGTCCTTTTTTGTAGTTTTGTCCGGGTGGTTCCGATTCACTGTGGATAATCCGCATCTTGTTTGCTCCGAAGGCCGTGAGCTAAGCGAGCGATATCGCTTCGGGTCAGCAGTGAAAGGCTCCACCATTACGAAGGGAAGGTAAGCTCCTTTTGTACTTTTTGTTTTTTCGCCCTGATGGGTTTCCAGTCGGTATCTTGGCGAATTTCTTGAGAAAAGGCAGTTGTGGTAGTTTTGTTTTTAGTTGCCGAAGTCTTGATCTAGGCTCAGATCTCGTGAAATTTCGGTAACTTGGTAAGTTTTTGAATTGAAATGATAAAATACTAATTTCTTTTTTCAAGCATTTTTTCCGCGGAATTAGCAGCTCTCTGCTGATAATTTAGAGTAGTGTGCACACCTGGTGATGGTTTGTCCAGACCGAGTGGAGATAGAACGCCAAGGAGGTGAGTATTGATGTTGTGTTGTGCCCAGCGTATTATCAGGAAGGTATCCCGCGTTCTCCCCGTGTTGAGGTTGTGTTTCCTCGCAGATTAAAAGACTCGTGTTTTGGCTAGGCGTTCGCCCAAAGTGAAGGGTAGTTTTGTGTTGCCGGCGGCTGCGAATTATGTTGATGGAGTCCAGTAGAGTTGCTTCGAGGTAGTTTCGCGCGGCGACATCCGCTTGAGGGTTGTAAGGTGAGCTCGAGCAGTTTTGCATAACTAAGTATTGATCGATCATTTGCTCTCAATTTAGGTACCTCGTGGTGACAGGCCATTCACATTTCTAAAGCCTGCCCCACAAAAAGATGACAAATCAGGTATATACGGGATATATTGTCAATTTAGTTCAAAGTTTACAATCCCTTACGTTTCGTGCTTATCCCGAGCTATTTTCGTAGTGTATTCGAGCGAGCAATGTATTTTTTCATTTGTTCCCTCATTAACGGCAGCCTTGTATGCGAGATATTCAATCGATCTGCCGTCTAGCATGAGCCGGCATGATCGTAAGCTTGATAACGCATTTCATCCGCGCACTTCTCGTTAGATGAGGCCGCCTGCGTTAGAACGGTGAGTCATTTCTTTATAATTTTTCGGTTTCGTTCTTATTAATTTTTGAAGCGTTTGTGGTGTTGCAATTCTTTTTTTTTCTTATTTTCTTTCATTCCAGTAGAAAAATCTTTTTTAACTGTCATTTCGCCCTTTCTTGCTACATCTAATGATATATACTTGGTTTACGCGTGTTCGCGTCCCCCTCTGAAAAACAGTTTTTGTCCCTTATTGCCAGAATTTTTTTCTGCCATTTGGAAGTTTTTTTCCACATTTTTTGAGGTTCTCTTCTCCTTTCTTCTTCATTCGGAAGCATACCAAATTTACGTTCGTTTTTGCGCTAGTTTTTTCTCTCACTTCTTAAATACCATTTGTATTTGCCTGAAAATCCTTTATTTCTGTGCACACGCAGTTTATTTTGCAGCTTTTCTTGGTTTAGTCACCCTGTCTTCTAGGATACCTCTCACGGGTCCTCAGCCTTTCCCCCTCCAACCTCGGGACAGTAATGTGACTTGTCCGAGGTTGGCGGAGGAAAAGCGGAGCAGGAGGAAGAGGAGGAAACAAATATTACTACTACTTTTAGCTATATTGACTTTTATTTTAGAATAATTGATTTGAAACACTTGTTGTGCTCCCTAGTCTTTCTAGCGGGTCTCTATGTGTATTAGTTTTGCTACTGTTGCTACTGTTGTCGCTAACGATTTTGTCTTAGTTCATTTTTGTTCAAGCAAAAAAAACGTTTCACGTTCGTCCTTTCGCTGGCTTTCGTCAATTTCCTTGTCATGTTCAACGATATTTACTAAAGTCACGCTTGTTCGCGTCCACATCCGAAATCATTTTTATCGATAGTCTATTTCATTTTGTTTGGAAGGTTTTTTTACATTTCTTTAAAGTTTTCTTTCTTTTTGCATTCTGAAGCATACCACGCTTTGATATTTTCTCTGCTTCAGCTTTCACGCTATTCCCTTGAATGATTGCTTGGTATTTCACCTCATCCTCACAGCGAGTTAGAAGAAGCACGTAAGCAGATTGAGTCTCTTTCCCTATGTTCGAAACGAAATCAGGCAGCGCTTGAAAACCCCAATGCCCGCATTTCGAGGCTTGTGCAGCGTAATGAAAAGCTAGCCCGTATAGCTTTCGGTCATCATCATCTCTCCACTTTTTCTCTTCCTAAGGTAAACTGTGTTTTTCGCTTCCATCGTTATGTCCGGTTGCATTCTCAGCGGAAGAGCTTTGCGCCTACGTTTCTATTTTCAAAATGCGCGCTCATTTGTTAGGTAAAGTCTGGATAAGTGACTCGAAGGAATTTGCGCTGTTATGGCGCGATGACAGCCCGACCCTGGTAGACTGACAAAACTCTCTGATTATCACTGACCAGGGGCTACGCAATCACAAAGGTCAAACGGCTGAAGCGTTACACACAGCCGCAAGTCGAGATCATAACATCAAATCAACTTGCAGCTCAACTATTAGCGGTAGAGGATACAGTTCAGACTTCTGTCACTACACTATTTCATCACGCTTTGGCTTCGTTGTGCGACCGCACAAATTCTCTTACGTTCTCACTCCATTCATCACTAAAGTCAGACCAAACTTATACCTTGCGCAGGCTGCTCAATCGACCCCATAGGTGCGAAGGCCTGAGATGGGTACCCTCCAAAGTGAGGGGTCTCGGCTGTAACCCTCAAAAGTGAAGGGATCCAAAAATTGCCGACGTCTACCGGGGGGCGGGCGGTAGAATTGAAAAAAAAATAAATTTTCAATTTTTAACTTTATTTTTTGAATCTAATTTTAACAATTTTCCAATTTTTTGATTTTGAATTTTCTAAATTTATTTGTATAAATTTTAACATAGTTAGTAAAATGTTTTCAAATACTTTTTTTGATAATTATCATTTTATTATCATGTACCATAATGCGGGAAACGAAGCAAAAATCGGGACCGGACCCCCTCACTGAAACGAAGCAGGTGCTGAGGTGAGAAAATACTTAGTTTAAAGTTGAGATATCGTATTTGAGAAATTCAATTTTAAGAGTTTCATGGGACGAGCGGTAATGAGTCGGATGGAAGGGCGCATGGTCATAAAACAAATGGCTGGGGTGGAGCCTTCACCTTCTGTGGCTATAAATTAAATAATTTGCCATTGTATTGTGTGTATAAGGATAAACGATAAAAGGGAATGTTGTGCGCAATCAAAGATGTAGATAGCGAGTGAGGTTTGGTTGAGGCAGGTTTGAGTTGCCAACTATACCCCCCTTCGAGCCAAAAAAATTCCAAATCTCGGTAGGGGGTCCTCTCATAATCTGATTTCTTATTTATCTTGTCGAGGAGAGTGTACTGGGTATAACTAGGGCTGTAGCAAAAGAATCTGTTAAAGCAGACCTTCTTGAGCTTGAATTTCACACAAAAATCTATGCGTCTTCAACTCGGTACTGTTGCTCTCCTTCCTTACAGCAGATCCTTTTGCGATAGCCCTACTTATATCAATAAACCTCCCTCTACAAGATGATGAAAAAAGTAGATCACGAGAGGACCTCCCCGCTGAGATATGAACCGTCAAATGGAACCACCCAAAATCGATTTTTTTGCTATAACTCTTGTGTAAATAAACAAACATAAACATGGAGCTGGATTTAGAATCTACTCTTCAAAAGCTTTCGAATGATACATAACATGTGGGGGTTCCTTGTTTTTTTTCGCCCTGCGACAGGGTTGAGACGACTCAGTCATGCGATCTCAGGTCTATCCCCCCTCCATCTTATATATAAAGCTGAATGTCTGTTTGTCTGTCTGTATGTCTGTCTGTCTGTATGTACGTATGTTCCGAATAGAAAATTCCATTTCTGAACCGATCCGGACCAAACTTGGCACACATACACTACGGGCCCCGGCGGGTGTCATAGGCTACTTTTCGTCATCGATCGATATCGATTTTATCGATTTTTATCGATTTTTTTGCTGAGTTCACCTACGGGGCTGGGAGTTGGCACAGGGGGGTAATCGAGCATGGGGATTCCGAATACAATATTGGTTTTCAGGATTATCGATTACTTTTATCGATTTTATCGATTTTTTGCAAAGTTTGAGCTACGGGGCTGGGAGTTCGCACAGGGGGGGTAATCGAGCATGGGGATTCCGAATACAATATTGGTTTTCGGGATTATCGATTACTTTTATCGATTTTATCGATTTTTTTGCAAAGTTTGAGCTAGGGGGCTGGGAGTTGGCACAGGGGGGTAATCCAGCATGCTGATCACCCCCAAGGGGGGTGATCAGCATGCTCGATTACACTCCTGTGCCAAATTCCAGCCCCCTAGCTCAATTTTCAAAAAATCGATAAAATCGAAAAAGTAATGGACGATCCTGAAAACTAATATTGTGTTTGTAATCTGCATGCTCGATTACCCCCTGTGCAAACTCCCAGCCCCGCAGGTCAAACTTTACAAAAAAAATCGGTAAAATCGATAAAAGTAATGGACGATCCTGAAAACTAATGTTGTATTCGGAATCCCCATGCTCACTTCCCCCCCTGTGCCAACTCCTAGCCCTGTAGGTGAACTCTGCAAAAAAAATCGATAAAAATCGGTAAAATCGACACCGATCGATAACGAAAAGTGGACTGTGACACCCGCCGGGGCCCGTAGTGTATGTGTGCCAAGTTTGGTCCGGATACGGCGGAGCCGGGTAAGCCAGCTAGTATGCAATAAAGTGGGCGGGGCTGAGAAGCCATAACTGAAAGACTAAGCCTGAAAGCCATAACTATTAGGTTGTCCCATAAGTCCTTTCATTTTTGAGTTTTCGGTATAATAAGTCACACACTTCTCAT